CAGGTAGCCATTCTGTTGTTTGTGTCTCCCGAATGGACACGCCGCCTGCAGCGAATGGTGGTGTCACAGTCTCGTTCGCACCCTCCTCCCCTGGCACCAGAGTGTTTGGGCAAAGGGAGGGGGGGGGGGAGGTTGGGGATTTTAAAAAATCTGATTTGCAGAAAGGAGACGACAAAAGTCCCCCTTAAAGGAGGCTTTGTTTGTCTTTTGTTGCAAAGGAGTCCCCCCTCCCCCCCCAGCTGTGAGAAGGGACTCCGTGGCTGGTCTCTGGCGGAGGCAAAGAATGGGCTACAGTCCCTTCAGAGCCGGCCTCGGCCCCATCTCAGGATGTCTCCACAAGCCACAGGCGTCGGCCGCCTCACGCACGAAGCTGGCTTGCCTTTGGCACGGGGGCTCAAAGGGTTGCAAGCTTTCTCTCTGTGCGGCAGACACGCAGCCTAGAAACGCTGGGTCGGTTTTGGTAAAGGAGAATATTGGCAGCTCAATCCAAAGTGAAAGGAAACGCCATGCCTTAGTAGCACTGATGAGGTTACCTAGTTCGGTAATGAAACGTCTGAAAGGAAGCAACCAAGTTCAGAAAGCACCAAGGACCCCACACTTCTCTTCCTTCTTCTCCCCTTCCTCTCCTCCCCCTTTTCCTTCCCCTTCCTCTCCTCCTCTTCCTCCTCCTCCTCCTTCCCTCCTCCTTTTTCTTCTTCCTTTTCCTCCCCCTTCCCTCCTCCTCCTCCTCCTCCTCCTCCTCCTCTACACCCCCTCCCTTCCAGCACTCATGACGTTCTCTAGTTTGGTAATGAAACGTCTACAAAAAAAATCAACCAAACAGTTATGATGATGCAGCATTGCAGGCTGACTCTGCTCACTGCCAAGAGTTCGAGTCTCACTGGCTCACGGTGGACTCAGCTTTCCATCCTTCCGAGGTTGTAAAATGAGGACCCAGATTGTCGAGGGCAAAATATTGACTCTGTAAACCCGCTTAGAGAGGGCCCGTAAAGCACTGTGAAGTGGCATGTAAGTCTAAGTGCTATGGCTATTGCTAATTCTGCCCACTGTCAGGAGTTCAATCCTGACCAGCTCAAGGTGGACTCAGCCTTCCATCCTTCCGAGGTGGGTAAAATGAGGACCCAGATTGTTGGGGGCAAGAGGCTGACTTTGTAAACCGCTTAGAGGGGGCTGTAAAAGCACTGCGAAGCGGTATATAAGTCTAAGGGCTCTGGCTATTACACCAGTCAACGCTGGTGAGTTTTGTTTTGTTTTTGCACAGGGAAGAAAAAATCCAAGTTCCAGACCTTCAGAAACTTCTTTGCCAAGAAAAAGAAGGGGAAAGACCTCCCGTCCTCCCCAGAAGAGACGGAGCGGAAGCCAATCCAGGACCGCAGCGATGGCGGCGACTCTCCTCCACTGGACTCCATCTTGCTCCATTCGCCTGGGGAAATCGAGTGAGCTTTCCTGCTTCCCCTTGTCTCCCTCCAAGAGCCCGCAGGCAGCAAGGAAGCTCTTGGTCGCTCCTCTTGGTGCCACAAACGAATCTCACTGCTGGGTTTTGGAATTCAAGGAATTTCCTCTTTCCCTTTTGCAAGCGTGCCTCCCCTGCAGTTTCAAGCGGCCAAACGTTTTCCCTCGGGGTGGTTTCACTTGCAAAAGAGACGAAGTTGGGCTGCCCTTTTCCTGAAAAGCCCATCCAGATGGGGCTAATTAGCGGTGTGGGGGGGGAGGGGGGCGTTGTTGGCTTAAGTGGCCACATGTGTGTTGGTGCGTGTGTGCGCATTGTACTACAGTACACTGCATTGTGCAGGTAGTCCTTGAATTATGACTACCCCTGTTTCCCCATAAAGAAGACCCTGTCTTATAATTTTTTTTTGCCACCAAAAAAGTTACCGGGTCTTATAATTTAATATATACGATACA